ATATAAATATAAAAAATATAAAATTTATAAGATTATAATAATTTATTAATTATAATAATATAAAAAATTACTGAAAGCTGTTGGATAATTTCAAGTTCCTCTGAATTATTTTAATGAAAATAGAAATGGTTATTTTTAAGTCTTGAATACTGCATGCAGTTGCTGAGCTCTTTGGTTTTAGATAAGAACATGAAGAAAAAAAGCAAAAAAGTGTAATGAGGTGTACAATCAGTTAAAAGTGTATTACACATTTTCTTCAATTCACACAATTTAAATGGAGATATTTCTCTTTGATAGAATTATGAATTACACTTCAGATCTGAGACGTGCTGAAGTAGACAGAGCTTTCAAAAAAGCATTCAAAGTTTGGTCTGATGTGACACCACTCAACTTCACCAGAATACGAAGTGGTATAGCTGATATAATGATCTCCTTTGGCACTAAAGGTAACAGAGAACAAGTTATTTTTAATTTATAGCTATATTGCTGCCAATAAGATGGGATAGTTGATTTACTTGTTTTGAATGTTGTTTCATAGAACATGGTGACTTTTACCCCTTTGATGGTCCCTCTGGATTACTGGCACATGCTTTTCCCCCTGGTCCAGACTATGGAGGAGATGCCCATTTTGATGATGATGAAGCCTGGTCAGATGATTCTAGAGGTAATAGAAGTTCCTGAGATTATTTGAAGTGATGATAGATGGACAATTTCTTCCTGTTTGATATCTGTAAACAGTCTATTTTACCTGTTTGCTGTTCATTCATCATTGTATTCACTGTCCACTCATAGGAAGCTGGGTTTAGCCTCCAATCATTAATGGAAGTATAACCTATGTCTAGCATAAATGTTAAGCTATACGCGTCCTAAGTGAAATGATTTTAAAAATGCCACAAACAAGGCATTTTGTCATCTTGGCATATCACTGTCAAGGGCAGCTATTTCTGATCACAGACTGATGAGCATTACCTTACTGAAACCTATAGAAATCTAATATAGTTAACTCAGCTGCAAATGGGCTACTTGCATTTAATTTGAAAATTCTTCACCTTGCCTGTTCAGGACAGAGATTTAACAGAACAAAACATTATTTTTTTTTTCGGAACTCTGTTATTTCACGATCCTGGCATTAAAGCTGATTTATTCAATACTGTAAACAATATGGACTCTCTACTGGAGGTGAATTCCTGACAAAAATTTCTTGTTTTGAGTAGGGCTAAGACTTCACCCTAGAGCTTTCTGGTGTTGCTGAGAAATTTTAAGAAACCTAAATCTGCCTACAGAACAACATTGTCAAATAAAATTTAGGTTGAACACCAGCTATGAGGTACTCAGTTGATTAGACCCTTATTAAAACAAAGCTTATGGTAGTTTGAAAAAGAAAAGCACTTATACATATTTTTTCCATTTATCCAGTTGTCTCTGTCATTGTCCCATATGTTAAAGTAGAGTTTTAAGGGTAGTTCATCAGTCCAAGTCATGAATCCAGGAGATATACATTTACTTTCACTGTGGTTTGTTATAGGGTACAACTTGTTTCTTGTTGCTGCCCATGAATTTGGTCATTCTCTGGGACTTGAACACTCTAGAGACCCTGGAGCTCTGATGTTTCCAATTTACACATACACTGGAAAAAGTGGGTTTGTGCTTCCTGATGATGATGTGCAAGGGATCCAAGAGCTCTATGGTAAGTTTCTATAATATAGAACATATTTTTCCTGTGTCATTATAACCTGTTACAGATGCACAGCATAGCTACTAAAGAGCTGCAGGTGTTCAATAACAACAGTCATGACTGATTAAGACCAATTCACTGGATTCTTGCCAACCAGACTTCAGAACAGAAACTGCTTAGATTTGATAGTTCAGAGAAAAAAATAAAGGAAGTAACACTGAAGAATCACAGAATCACAGAATCTCAGGAGTTGGAAGGGACCTCGAAAAATCATCAAGTCCAACCCCCCTGCCAGAGCAGGATCACCCAGACCAGGTCACACAGGAACGCGTCCAGGTTGGTTTTGAATGTCTCCAGAGAAGGAGGCTCCACAACCTCACTGGGCAGCCTGTTGCAGTCTCTTTTAGTGGTGGGGTAGGGGAGCAGAGTCTTTATACTTTTTGAACTGCCTCAAAAGAGAAGGTAAAACAGAGTCTAAAAGAAGAAACAGAAACACTCATGTTTCATCATGGAAAGAATAAAACTTCTGTGGGATCTTCAAAACTTGGGATAAAGAAGGCAAGTCCATTTGATATCTTTGCATCACAGCTGAACTGCAAAGTCCATGAAAGTATTTGGATAAAGAAGAAAAAGTGAGAACAGGCTTTCTATAGTACAAATAGTTTGCCGATTATGCTTGTATTCATCATTCTGTCTGGGAACTATTCCATGTCCTATTCAATATTGTTATCTGTAGAAAGAAAATGAATGTTGTCAAATGTAGATCATACTATATGATTCCAGGTGCTGGAGACAAAGATCCCAACCCAAAACATCCCAAAACACCAGAGAAATGTGATGCAGAATTGTCACTTGATGCAATAACAGAACTTCGTGGAGAAATGCTGGTCTTCAAGGACAGGTAAAGAGACTGTCATGTGGTGGGTACTGGATAAAATTTAGGAAAGAAAAAACTCCATTTCATTTTTTTACTAAAGATTTGAGTAGACATAAATTTAAAATAATCACAGATCTTTATAGATGCCTTTAAGAAACTACATCATGTATCTTTTTAGGCAGGATTTATAATACAATTACAGACTTGACTGCTCAATAATATGAAGTGAAGATGATATGCCTGAAGACTGACATAATTTGTACACATTCTTCATTCACAGAGCTTTCTTCATCATGCAAAAAAATACATTTATTTGAATAAGGTCATACTACGTTCAGAAACCTTACATGGGACAGCTGTGTTTCTCTTATTCTAAATGAAAAACAGATTTAAGTTTGCCGTTGTATGAGATGATCACTGTGTGAGTGACAGAAATGGTCTGCAGCTAGGTGACTATGAGGAAAGGAAAGGTCAACAAGGGGCTCTATGTATTGAAAATTCTAGGTTATGAAAACAAAATAATTCCCCACTAAATAAATTGTAGTATAGCAGATCAGAGATACTGCTATTCTGTAGTATGGAGAGAAACATAAACTATTTTTTTCTTTTTCTGAAATTCTGAACTAGGTTTTTCTGGCGACTGCACCCTCAGATGGTTGAGGCAGAACTGGTGTTACTTAAGTCCTTTTGGCCAGAGCTTCCAAATAAAATAGATGCAGCTTATGAAAATCCCATCAAAGATCTTGTGTTCATGTTTAAGGGTGAGTTTTCAATGTTGTTGTTGGCAGTATAATATACATATTTAGTCAACTCGGTAAGTGATGTAAAGTTAATCAACAGAAGAACAAAACATCCTCCCTTCCTTGCTCAGAAACTGAACACTGTTGGTTTCATCACATGAAAAACTCTACAGTTTTCAGTGAACTGGGAGATGTACAATTAAGCTCAGATGCCTAGGATCATAGTTAGCATAAATAGTTTAATACCTGCTGACTTCAAAATCTCTTAGTTGGAAATAGGGATCATGGCATCCTCATTTTATTCTGCTCTTGAAGCTGAGCCTTTACGAAAGACTCATGCATACTTCGTTCTTATTTTCAGGAAAGAAAGTCTGGGCTTTGAATGGCTACGACATAGTTGAAGGTTTTCCTAAAAAAATATATGAAATGGGGTTCCCAAAAGAAATGAAAAGAATAGATGCAGCTGTCCATATTACAGACACTGGCAAGACTCTCTTTTTCACTGGAAATAAGTACTGGAGGTAAGCTGGAGACAGACTGGTGTGTCCCTACTCATAACCTGTTCAAAGTATCAAAAGATCAGCAGGTTGTTTCAAACCAGGCACTTGATTGTGGTGTTCTTTTTTCCAGCCTGTGTATTTCATTGGTGCTATAGCTGTGAAAAGTAACTCATAAAATTGTATGTAAGACTTTTATGAACGTATGGGCACAGCCTTTAAAAGCCGAAAGGGTGAAAGAAAGGAAAGGAGAATAAAGTGCTCTAATCCCGGAAAGTCTGTCATATGGTCAGTTCTCCTAGCCAAAATTCCCATCTTGCTTCCTTGAGCTGCTTATCTGACACAAAATGGTGTCAGTGCTGTAAGAATAAGAAATCTATCCCACCCCAGGATGGCTGGGTTTTGCTGTTCATCAGTAGTTCTTACAGCCAGGTCTGATGCGTAATTAAGACATTAGAATCATAGAATGGTTTGAGATGGAAGGGACCTTTGAAGATCATCTGGTCCAACTCCCCTGCAGTAAGCAGGGACATCTTTAACTGGATCAGGTTGCTCAGAGCCCCATCAAGCCTGGCTGTGAATGTCTCCAGGGATTACCATCCCTTCTCAGTATCTCTGTGAAACTGAAATTGAAAAGCAGCCTCAGGGTAGACTTGTAGTGTCAATACATCCAGGTACAGTCATCTCCATATAATACATACTTTATAGATTGGTTCTGAAAATGTAGCTTTGTTGATTTTGTGTTTATTGAACTTCTGGTGGAAGTGAGCCCTGATTGTTGCCCTGAGTTTCGTTATTACATTTGACATAAAGCACCTAAAAGCTGCTGGTTACTTCTGACGTGGGTAACTACAAACCATATAAAGGGCACAGACCAAACTCCTAGGATGTTCAAATCCTCTGAATTTTTATTTTCTTTGTGTTTAATATAGTTACGATGAAGAGGCAGAAGTTATGGAAGCAGACTACCCCAGATTGATAGAGGAAGACTTCACAGGAATTGGTGATAAAGTGGATGCAGTCTATCAAAGAAATGGTACGTAATCTGCTAATGAAATTTTATTACAATTAGTTGTCATTGAAACTTCAGATTAATGGCCTGTGGGAAATTCTGTCATTTGTAATTTTGATTTTTGTCACATCAAAGCTTCTGTTCTTGACTGAATCAGGTTTCTGATCTAATTTGGCCTTTGGCCAAGGTGCTTTTATAAACTGTGTACATACATATTCGAGGAGCCAAAAAAGACCTACCTCCTTGCTAAGTGAACCTAAAATGATGTGCTTAGTATGGAAGTATTTTAATGTGTCCTTTCCTTCAAATGGAGCCCATTCCTATCCCTCTCCTCAAAGTGTTTCCTAATCAGAGTCTTAAATATTAACAGGCAAAGCCTGTCTTTTCCTAAGCAAGTGCTGTATAGTAATAAAATGCAGAGCTTGACACTAGATTAAAATATTACTTATTTTAAAACACCGATCCAGGTCTGTCAAATGGAATGAAGACTTTTGAAAATTTATCTCAACATTCTAAATACTAAAAGATTGCATTTAAAACAAGATAATTTTTATTTGAAGGATAATTTTAATGGGACAATACAGTTTTCTCAGGCTTAATTAATTTCAACTTTCCTTTTCCTTAGGTTATCTCTACTTCTTCAATGGACCACTGCAGTTTGAATACAGCATCTGGAGCAAAAGAATTGTCCGTGTCCTGCACACTAGCTCCATATTTTGGTGCTAATTACAGCTAATGCCATGTCATAAGCTGCAGAGCAGCTTCTAGTACATGGAAATAATAATATGGGCATATAGATTCATTAGAGAACAGCAAGGTTCTGTGAACAAGCACTGGCTACCTACCACCAAGTGTATACTGTATATATGAAACTATATAGCTGTATGTCAGTCTGGGACTGAATTAACTTAATAAGAAAGAAGAAAAGAAATTATTAGCATTTCAAGGGGCATTACACCATTTAAAGTTTGTATAGTATTGAAGAGAGATGCTGGATACATCCTACATGATCATGAGCACTATGAATTCCCAGTAATCTGGGCATCTTTCAGGGAACTCCTAGCATCCCAAGAAATCTGGGATAAAACCTGATAAACCCAGGAGTGTCATATTTTTAAACTAATCCTTCGGCTCTTTGAGAAACTCCTGTTAACATACTGGGAATTCAGATGTGTAATGAATGAGTCAGGACTGCATGGTGACTCCCTGAGCAGGATAACACCAGGCTGCACCACTGAAGTTAGAGAATTCAAAGGTATTTGAATGTATCCCTATTTGAATGAGAATGAGCCCCTGGAAACAATTGTCCCTGTCATCTTTGGAACCGGCAGGACGTTTAGAACCAGGGAGGTGTCATTCTAAAAAGAATGACAGAAAAGCAAGAAAAGGGAAGAGTGTTCCCTGCAGGGATCATCAGCCTATATGCTACTGGGAAAACCAGAAAGAAATAGCAAAACAAGAATCACACAGGTTGAAACTTTGTGTGAAGCTACATCTGGTAACACAGTCCGTGTTTTCAGCTGTTGTAAACTGAAGTAGTTAAAGTGACATTTATAGAGATTACCCCTAGCTGTGTCAGCAGAAAACCTGAACATTCAAATCAGAATATTAAAAAGAATACCTTTATTCATGTTGGTCACTCTTTTAATATCTCTATCAATTGTTTCATCACAATGTAAGTTTTTGTGGCTTTGTTGTTTTTTTTAAATCAATTCAAATTATGTGGGACTGTGATAACTTTTCAGTATAAAAACTAATATTAAATAAACCAAAGGAATAAAATGACATTGTGAAATGACTTAAATTAAAATTTCCTGCACTGCATGTCATAAAGGCAAGACAGAGTTATTGGCTAAAAGAAATTAGGAACCCTAACCTGTGCATTTTATTCATTAAAATTTTCACATCTATTCAAAAATCTGCTTTGTTTTTTTTTTCCCCTGTGAGAAAATGAATTTTATAGAAAATAGAGGAAGAGAGAAAGACAGAAAGAGAGGAAATAGGAAAGACCCTCTCAGATCTGCAGAATAAAACTAAGTTTGAATTAGTCCTTATCATTACAGAAAGTATGAGAAATTTTTAAGAAATATTGTGAAATTCAGTTCCAAATTAATTTGAATGCTAAACATTCATAGCCGTTGAAACTACATTGTCCTCTTCTGTCTCCTCAAAACCTACCTGTGAGCCAGTCAGTCAGCCAGGCATGCCAAGCAAAGCCCATCAGCAATAAATACCTTTAAACAGGCATTCATGCCAATGGCATCCTGGGGTACATTAAGAAGACTGTGGCCAGTAATTAGAGGGAGGTTATGCTCCCCCTCCACTCCGCCCTTGTGAGGCCACATCTGGAATATTGTGTCCAGTTCTGGGCTCCACAGATGAAGAAGGACAAGGAGCTACTGAAGAGAGTCCGGCGCAGAGCCACTGAGATGATGAGGGGACTGGAGGAGAGGCTGAGAGAGCTGGGTCTGTTTAAACTGGAGAAGAGCAGACTGAGGGGAGATCTCATTAGTGCTTACAAATATCTCCAGGGTGGATGTCAGGAAGATGGGACCAGACTCTTCATGGTAGTGCCCAGTGACAGGACAAGGGGTAATGGTCACAAACCAGTACACAGGAGGTTCAACTTAAGCATAAAGTAAAATTTCTTTGCTGTGAAGGTACCAAAGCACTGGACCAGGCTGCCCGGAGGGGCTGTGGAGTCTCCTTCTCTGGAGACATTAAAAACCCACCAGGACGCGTTTCTGTGTGATCTTCTCCAGGTGATCCTGCTCTGGAAGGTGGGTTGGACTAGGTGATCTTCAATGGTTCCTTTCAACCCCTACCATGCTGTGATTCTGACTGCAAAACTGTGAATTAATGAATCCCAGACCTTAATGTGCTTAAAATAAATACAAGAAAATAAAGCTGAAAACAAAACCTTTACAAATGGAAAAACTTTTGAGTGGATTAAAATCAACATTCTATTGTATGATATAACGTTGATAAACTGTTAGGGAAAAAGTCAGTACAATTCTCTATGCATAATAAACAGAAACTTGTTTATGTATATATAAAAATAATTTTTGACATGGTGTGCTTGAAAAAAAACAATGCTTCATACTGGACTGTAGTTAATTACTTAATGGCTTAATTACTCTGCAGTGAAATAAGGGTCTGGACATGTAATCCTAGTCCTCATTATTCTCAGAATAAAGACGTGGTGGAAAATTGTGTCATAATAATACAGAGTATTCCATATATGGGTTAGTGGTTGAGTTTGAATGCTCTGAATTTCAAAGGTCTGTCCTGAGCCTCACTGGAGCAGGGAATGCACAGGGAAGCAAGGACACTTCAATGAACGTCTTTCATATCTATAACAATTTCCACTAACACTGAATGTTTGGCAGGGAAAAGGTACTTCATTGGAAGCTCGAACTTCAAGAGTCTTCAGCATGATCATATCCAGCTGCTCCCCAGCTCAAACAGCCAGATTCCTGTTTGCCTCTTGGTTGACTGGAAGCAGCCTTCGGCACAGGTCCAAGCTCAGCTCCAGCTTACACTCCTGCATCCCCAGCAAGAGACGTATGCTGCTCTGTGGTTAGTGCTACCTCAGCTGAGAAAAGTACCAGGTTGTCAGTTCCTGGTATTTCATTAAGAAAAAATGGAAAACAAAAATTCTTGTGCTGGGAAAGTGGAAGGCTGAGGTCAGAGCCAGAGCACCCCTGATAGTCCCATCAGCCAGAAAGGAAAACTCTGCAGGAATCAGTGCCCTGGAACCCACTGCCATCTCATGAGAATAACATTGCACAAGTCTGTGGTGAGAACCTATATGGGATATTGCCCAAGACGGTCAAGTATTGAAAAGAAATGAGTCCTTTTCTTGAGACTGAGACTGAACTGACTGCTTTCCTTGAGATGTTGTGAGTGAGGAAAGGACCATGAGATGCCAAGATAGCTGTGTCCGAGGATGTAATACAAGCAGAATTAATAACTTTCCACTGGGTTGCTAGTTTTTGTGTGGAGCTACACTAATGCATCTAATAGTACATGAACTGTTGTTGATAATTATGCCATTTATAACCATTTTGATCTCTTCTAAGAAGGATCATTTGAAGGGTGAGAAACAATAAGGCAGGAAAAGGAATCTGTCAGATGCTCCTCAGGACTAGTTTCTCTCCTGGTTACATGATCCTGGACAAGTAGAACTTAGACGATGCAAACATATATTCCGAAAGAAAGAAGTGAACAAACATGATTTAAATTTTCCAAAAGGATAAACTAGGCAGTTGTCTTCTAAATCCATTAATACAAAATAAAAAAGCAGCAAACACTGTAAGAGGTGCTGTGAGCTACATGAGATTTACTGCTAGCTGAGAAACTAGAGAAGGTATTCAATTTTAGCACTAAAACGGGTTTTTTTTTCTCAGCATATTCTCCAGAAACCTGCTCTGAGGACACTAGGTGGCAGTGACAGCTCCTTAGAGGATCTGCACAGTATCAAAATGATACAGCGTGTGAGGAAACTGCAACCAGTTATAGTAAATTTTTATATTTGGTGAACATAGAAAAAGCCTAACACTAATAAGTAGAATTAAATTATTATATTCTATTGAAAGATTAATATCTCAGTAACAAGTTAGGGTATTAAAATATTTAGGAAACTTATAATACATATAATCATTTTCAGAACCAATAATTTTTCAGTCTGTTGATAATCCTTTACTCAACACCATTACAATACACTTAAAACATGCATTCCACAGATAGTCCTGGGAATAATGCAATCCCTTAGTTTAACTTCATTCATTGGAAAATCACACACACACACACACGTAATCATATTCCAGCTCCTCGGGAACATGACAGTCTTTCAGAATACAGATTGATTTCTGAAAAAATGACACCACAGAATATGGAAGTAATACAAAAGTGGAGAAAAGAATAAAGAACCCAAGTAAAAAAGAACAAATATAATTAAATGTGTCTGAAATAGCAAGTATGTGATCACATCTGCTTGGAAGAGCTAAGGACAATTTCTAAGCCTTTCACAGTTCATTCTGAGCTCATATTTCCAGGCTTGTGAATTTTTTACAGATTAAGAATATGGTCTTGATCTTTGAATCCCTGATACTGCCCAGAACAGTAAGACTACTACACATTTTGAGCTAAGTAGAAATCGATTTTCCTATTCTGAAAACACTTTTTAGACTTTCAAACATCTTTACAGTTTGCAATAGAAAGAAACAAGAATTTCTGGAAATTTTTAATGGAAAAACCTTTGTCCTCTGTATTCTGTAGCCATATTGTCAATCGGCATACTTACTGGGTCTGGGGAGAAGAATATACTGTTTCAGTTTTTTGCTCAGAATTATTTAAACAAGAGTCTAGACCTCAGTATTCAGTCTTGTAGGTGAACGAATTGCGCATTCGCTTATGTGGTGGTGAGTTTCTTTCCATCTGTCCTGCTGGACATGTTCCTTCTTTACACAAATACAATTAAACAATACTCTTTGGAAAGACTGATTACCCACTAATCAGAAAGCTCATTTGGGCTGTAGGATCAAGCCCTTCTGTCAAGTATGTTTGGGGTTTTTTGTACAAAGTGGGGTGTCTACACACATTGTGAGTTCACACTAATTTTCAATTTTGATGACTCTACTGTTTCTGATGAAAAACAACATTTCCAGAGAAGACCTCTCCAGTTCTCCCTAGCATGGTGCAGAGGATACAAAGCCCATGGAGACTGTGTCTGGATTGGGACCTTTCTCTTTCCTACTTAACACAGTCTTCATGTGGTTGACACATCTTTTTAGTCATAGCCTTTTGATTTCATACTGCAGTTTGAATTTCCAGCCAATGCTGTTTAAGAGTATCTCTGGCACTCACTTCAGCTATCCCCTAAACTTCACACACTATTATCTCCCATGCACTGTTCTACAGAGAATGAGCTCTGCCCCTGTATTCCTTATAGAAATTGGGTGAGAGAGCATTTTGCTCTAAGAAAAATCTTTCCAGGCAGCAGACAACTAAGTATCACTTTCTCATTTACATGTCACATA